GCGGCTGCGGAGATGCCCCGGAGCCGCCGGTGCCTCCGCGCTGCCCCCTTCCCGGCCCGCGGCTCGCTCTTGCTGCCCCCTTACGGCGCCGCGGCCTCGCCTCCGCCTCCGCCGCAGCCCGGCCGCTCCGCCCTGGCCCCCGCTTGCGGGGCGCGGGCAGCAGGAGAGATCGGAGGGGGCCGGCTGCTGCGCTGCATCCGCGCCTTGCCAGCCTACCGCGGGACCCCCTGTTCACACATTTTGGGGGGACTTGTCAGCTTCTTCCAACGAGCTGATCAAATTTGATATCCGATGTTGCCCGAGAGGATTATGGGGCAACTTGATGATGTCTAGCCTATGGCATCCAGGGCGCCGGTCCGAGGAGGCTTCGGGATAGAGTGCAAATGCTGCGCTGCATCCGCGCCTTGCCAGCCTACCGCGGGACCCCCTGTTCACACATTTTGGGGGGACTTGTCAGCTTCTTCCAACGAGCTGATCAAATTTGATATCCGATGTTGCCAGAGAGGATTATGGGGCAACTTGATGATGTCTAGCCTATGGCATCCAGGGCGCCGGTCCGAGGAGGCTTCGGGATAGAGTGCAAAGACCTGGCCCCTCCGCGAAATAGGCTGGCGATTTGGCCCCCTGGCAACGTCTTCCGCACAACAGCACCCAAAAGTGTTTGACATGGACCAGAGAAGTACTGTGCAGAGGGAGGAGAAAGTCACACTAGAAAAGTGCCCCCACCTCAGCCTCTTGGGCCTCAGTTTCCCTAAATGCCCAGGATGGTGTCACAACAGGTTTCTGGAAAGCCCTTGAAGGTCATGATTGAGAACATTCCTGTCGGCCCTAGACAGAGCTTCTTTGAGGCTAGTTGCATGCCTATCAGATTCTAAGAGGAATCATCAGACCAGGCGTTGATGAGTCTGTCTTCTTGCAAAGGATTATGTCATTTTAAAAACTAACGTGGAGGAGGGGCTCTGTGTGGTTCGCTCTCAACTACTGAAATTCCAACATTAAGTAAGGAGAAAGAAAGGGGGAAAAATAGGAAGCCCAAACACAGAATTGTCTACAGTATTGTAAGATAGATTCAGATCCTCTTCGGAAAGAAAGAATTGCTTAATCTCCAACACCCTAAAATTCTACCTAAAGTGTAGTCATAATACCAAACTAGGCACGAAGGTAGGGGAAAATGATGTCTTTTCCTTGGATTCAGTATCGGTGCCATTATAATGATTCAATCCATTTTCACTGCACACAATTCCATAACAAATAAAAGAAGAAATTACCACTGAGCTAAGAATAACATGAAAATGGGGAAGAACTAGCATGCAGTCATTTTTTCAAATTTAGAGGGAAAAATCAGAATTTTGCAGTTTCTGTTGTAGGACGATTCTAAGTATCCCGGAAGCCATACAAATCTAAATTTCAATCTTCTAGCAAAATATTTGATAATTCTGAAGTATGAAAATTAGTACATAAAAAATTATCTCATCATTACGTTTTAGCATCTTCCTGAAAAGAAATACATGTTTCTAAGTTAAATCTAAAGACGAAGAAGAGGGGATTGTGCCCTTTCTCTGCAAACCGGGCTTTTCACGATTCATTAAACCCTTTTTCCATATGTGTAATTGGACTCTTCTCATTTACATGAACGAAGGATGAGGCAAAAGACCTAAAATCAGCCCCCAAAGAGAGATATGTTTCTCATTCCCCCATGTTCAAAAAGGGACTGTAGAAGTAATCCCTAGGAAGGCAGAATTCTCTTCCTCAGCTCCAACCCCACCAGACCTGAAACACTTCTTCACTGAGGCACCTTACAGCTATTATCAGAGGCACATGCTTTGATTTTATATTCTCCAAGAAAAAGCTTGTACCATAACCTGATCTCTCTCCTCATTTCTGATTGGGTTAAAAACCAAGAAAAAAAGAATGCACTATCTTTTAAAGAGCACAACCCTCCGCTTGGGCTTGAGTTGTCTGGCTGGTATCCTCCATTCACTTGGTTTCAGCACCTGATTAATTAGTTAATTAGTACTTAGAGCTGACTAGCCCCCGGTCGGCAATTTTCATGCCCTGCATGGTGAAATGTTGAATCCAGCATTGAAATTTCTGTCGCACACCCTAATTATTATCACCCCACTACTTTTAAAGCCATTGCACCAAATTATTATTATAGACAGAGCCAGACAGCTCTGTGGGAATATGTTCTCTCTGAGAATTAAGGATGGACTTCATCAATATTTTTCACTGTTGCCCTAACACATTTAAATAAAACAATTAAGTGGGAAAATTCTAATTCAATTAGCCTTCAACTCCTTCCATTGGAAAAAAAAATGGTTTTAAGCAGGGGAGATGTTAGAAGAATCACATTGAAAATGTTAATGGTGTTTTATCAGTTCCCCAGACAGCGAAGAGTGTGTTTACAAGGTATATCCTATCTGACTGAGATTCTTTTTTTTTTTTTTCGATTCCAGATTTCATAAATATGTCTAGTCTTGAATTTTTATACAATGAAATGGAATTGGCAAAGACCATTAAAGCCAAAACCCAAACAAGAAAGGATAAAATTATCCTGTCATCAAATAATATCTTCTACGTCTTCCCCCTTCAAGAATTTAAAGGTCACGTTTATTCATTCAACAAACATTTATTGAGCACCAGCAACTGTACTAGGTGCTAAGAAATACAACTTGAACAAGATAAACCAGGCTCCCGCCCTCACTGGATATTTTTGCTTTAAAGTTTAAATGATCTTGCTAACTATGTGATATATCATATTGTCTAATAGAACTGTATATTTTTGGAAAGTCAGAGTCATACAAGGCCTTTTCTAGAACACTTTTAAAGTTTCTTCATGGTAAACCTGATAGAACTATTTGATTAACTTAGAAGGAAGAGCAATGGTCTCTTTCAACAAGCATGTTGAAGTGTCAAGTTGGCTGTCAAGCAATGCGGTAATGGGTGGTGACCAGCCAAGGAGGCAGTTTAGACCATTCGGTTGCGCTTGTGAGATGGGGAGTCTATGGTGCCATCATCAAACTGGGCGGAGGTGCGCTTGCGGATCCCTCCAGTGTCCAGGCGGAGGGCCAGTTCTTCTGAGCCCAAGGGATTCAGATCATCCTCAAGGAAGGTACTTTTTCGACGCCCACTGCTGGCAACACCTCCATCATGAGACGGGGAACCAGGAGGGCCAGACTGCACACTGATGCTTGCCATGGCGCCACTGAGACCATGCAGGGAAATAGCCTCGTGGAAGGGCTGCAGGTCGACGTCCACCGGTGAACTGGACTCGGCGGCAGAAGCTTGACTCGCGGCCCCAGTGGGCGGCTTTGGGGTTGTCCTGGAGGTGCGCAGCGGGGGAGCGGCGGGGGGCGCTTTGCCGCACAGGAAGCTTATGAGGTCTTCTCTGCGAATGATGCTCCTGCCCTTCTTCACCCACTCCAGCACATCTCTGATGCGACGCTGGTAGCCAACCTGGACGCCCAGCTCAAAACTTCGTTGGTAGGCATCCCCACTCTCTTTGTAGAGGCTGGTCACGGCCATGGCCGCGTTCTGGAAGGGGTCCCACATAGACAGTCCTGGCTGTTGGCACCCGGAATCCTTGTAGAGCTGGGCCACGGCGGCGGCTGAGATCTGGAAGAGGTGCCAGAGCCTCTGCCGCTCGATCTTGAGCCCCGCCGCGTCGGCAGCCGCCTCGTCCTGCAGCTCCGGGGGCAGCCGCTCCTCCTGCTCGGCCTCGGCCAGACACTGGCGCTCCCACTTGGACAGCCAGGGCTCGGCGACCCCCGCCTCGCAGTCCTTTGGCTGCTCCCCCATCCTCCTCCTCCTTCTCCTCCTCCTCCTTCTCCTCCTCCTCCTCCTGCTCCTCCTCCTCCTCCTCCTTCTGTTCCTTGTGACCTTGCACTCAGAAGACCTAATTCAGCTTGTTTCTGGCAATTTTTCCAAGGTGTCAGCCTGCCTGAAATATAGTCTTCTACTCTGGAG